ACCTGACGAATCATAATGAATAGCTCCCTTCATTGTGCAAATTGAATAATGTATCAACAAGTTTTTTGTTCTTTCAACTGCATTTATACTTGCAGCTCGCTTATTTACACAGATTGTTACGTTTGCTCACTTACTTTCTCCCTCCAGTGCTTTCTGTATTCTATGATATCGTGTCTTAATTTCTTCTTTCCACCGCCATCTACTGTGGGGAGGGTCCACTGCGACTCTCGTGGTGATAAGCTTGAGATTTCTCGCTTCTATAATTCTTTATGTTTTAATTATGGGTTGTTTCTCCCATTTTGGCTTTTGCACTCAATCTCTTTCTGCACTGTTCTATTATTGTTCTCGCCAAGTGCACTTGATTTCATGTGGTCAGTTTCCAGATTTACATATGAAAGTGATCACTTTCATAATCTTCTTTACTTCTACTACATTACCAACAGTTTAGTGCCTCGTTGGTATTATGGCTCGAGCAGTTGGGACTTATACTCCCAGCTTACAACGTTGCAAGGACCCCTTTCTTGTTATTGTTGAAACTTGGAGCACAGTTTTCGACCTAGTCATTAAATGCAGTACGGTTCTATCCCCAATCTAGGTTGGCATTCAAAGACATGCATACCTTGTGTGCATGTTAATTTCGATAATAATTGCCTTGGGAGCGCCTGTTCGGATTTTAAGAGGCAAGGGCCATTGCCGCTGTGTCATTCAGCGAATGCTAAACAGCTTGTTGGGAGCTAGTGTCTACCATTACATCATTCACCTATGTGTGCCAATTTAGAATAAGGTGCAGAAATTGTGTGGTAATACACTCCGGACCCAGCGCCGATTTTGGGGGTTGCTGGAGTTGAATGTCGCGAACCCTTGAGTGGCCACAGAAATCGGAGCTATATTCGTCGTTTTCATGGATGGCTTATCTATGTTCCCTCATTTCTTGGCATTTAAGCCTAGATTTCTCATCAATAGACTGTAGTGTATAATATACCTTTTATCTCCTAGATTGGAGTCACACTTACATTTGATGCACGTCGGCACTGGCCTGATGATATCCACATCAGTATTGCTACAAATCTCACTCTAGGCCTTCCATTTTTTATTCTTTTATATCGGTTGAGCGAAGGTTCTCACTCAACAAAGGAAAATCTGGTAATTGTACTACGTTTTGCAACGGGCACCTTGGGGGACTTGGTAACCTCTACTATTCGTCCATTGCATGACCAGTTTGGGGTTACAAGGTATGGAACGATTTGTGAATGAATCTAATGTTTTATGGTTTCCCTTAGGGACTCACAGTAGCCTTTCCCTCGCCAATTATGGCTTTTGCAAGGCCTTTCTTGCTTTAGGCCCTTGTCCAATTAGATACGTAATTCAAAATGCCTTGCTAACAAACCACTCTGTCTAGCGTTTTTTTTTTTGATCTAGAGAAGGAATATGACACGACTTGGAGGTTTAACATTCTTTTCCAAGCCCTCTCTAGGTTTCTGCGGTAAATCTACCAAGCTTCATACTTTCTTGTCCGATAGCATGTTTCGAGTCGTATTTGCACTCACTTTCCTCGGAGTTTTTAAAGCCGAGGGTCCATAAGGTTGTGCTCGGCACTACACCTTTTCTCTTAAGCTATAAATGACCCACTTCTGTATTTTTCCTTTGTTATATTTGGTAGTCACGTTATGTTGATGACTTCGCATAACTTATCGGGCGTTGACTGTCGGAGACTAGTGAAGCTCCCTTCAGGTTGTGATAGGGCAGAGATCTACTGGACCACTTTCATGGCTTTAAATTTTCTAGTACGAAAACCCGATTCATAACCTTCACTAGATGAGCACTTATTCCAGACATCATGGTACTTACACGGTTCACGTATCCGGTCAAGTTTCTTGTTGGTCCTGCTCTTTGATCATCTGCTGACGTGGAGACCTAACATTCCTTCTTTATAGACAACTTTCCATTCAGTTGGCTAAATCTCTTGTAAGGTTCTTGCACTTCGTTCATGGGGAAGCAGATGTAGCATTCCTTCATTTACATTTACCTAGTCTTGTCCAAGCTAGATTATGGTGACCCAAATCTATTCTGCCGGCCTCTACTGTAAACTCTTTCTAAGTTTAGGATCCCATTCACACAAGGTTCTGTTGTGCCTTGGTGCTTCGTCATCCCGTGAAAAGCCTCTATGAGAGGCGAATGTTCTTCCCTGGCTATCGTTCGTGTACTATTGTATCTTGTTATTTTGTCGCATCATGATCTTCGTATTCTTCCACGTATAGCTAGTCTCAGGGACATTAGTAAGAAACCACTGTTCGATGCCCGCCCTAATCCGACCGTTTTCTCTTCACATTCAATCTGATTTCTTTCCAGTTGCCCCTTGTACATTCATTTATTGTCTGCCTTTTTCCTTACCCTGGGAAGTTCCGACAGTTCGGGTCTGCACTCCCAACTACCGTGCGCCAAAATTTCTTAGCTACGCTGCTATCGTTTATTTTTCTCGAAACACTTCCGGTTACATGCTCATGCATTGTGTATATCAGATGGGTCTAAATTGCTGATGGTGTTGGGTTACGCGCAGTTTTCCCTGATGATGTTGTCGAGGGCCACTTGTTGAAACTATCTCTAGCGTTTTTACTGCAGAGTTGTATTGCCCTCTCATAGAGCTCTTATATTACAATATCTTCCTTCGAAGTTCGTGATTCATGTTGGATTCCCTCATGTGCTTTACAAAACCATTAAACAATTTGATTACTTCATCTATTGGTCCTTGTATTCAAACAGAGGTTGAGCCATTGGTAGCAAGAATAAGATGTAGTTTTCTGCTGGGTCCTGGTCCGTTGGTGTGCAGGCAATGAGAAGGCAGATGCTGTGCGTTGTCAGCAGTGTGATTCCCGGTTTCTTATAAGAGGTTTCCATACAGGAACTATTTTCAGAATCTTGCCAGTCTCCACTGCGTTGGCAACAACGGTGGTCGGGGATCCATAACAAATTGCGCTCTATTAATCCTCATTTAGGTTTGTGGCATTTTCTACTACATTGCGTTCTGGGAGCCTGCGCTTTCTAGGCTCCGCATTGGTCAAATACGCCTTACCCATGGGTATCTCATGGATAGACGAACTGGCCCCTCTTTGTGGGTTGTCAGGTCCCTGTTTCGGTTCTTCACTCCTTGTCGATTGCCTCAATTTAAGTGATCTAGCAAGATTTGCTCCAACGGATGCCGCTCTCCCTCCCTTTTTGCTTTATTTCTTACTTGCAGATGACCTTGCCTTTGACTTACAAACATTTTTTACTTTTTGCCAGCAAACTGCAGTATTATAGAATTTGACAAATAGCACTTAGCGTTCCCTTTCATCTTAATCCTTCACTTTGATCCATTCCACCTAGTGATTATAACTCTGACTTCATTCTTGCCTGCAGCTCTGTATGAACCTTGTTAGTGTGCGCTTCTCTGATAAAATAATAATAATATAATAATATATTAATAATAATAATCGTCTCTTACAGTTCTACTTTAATGTATATCATTCTGAAGTTTTTGAACGACCGTGATTATATCTCACCGGCATGATAAATCACTTATCTTCATCCTTCATCTTCATTCATCTAGTGGATGTCAGCTACGACTCCAATTCGCAATATTAATCAATGAGTTATTTTCATCGCCAACTGACTTTATAGTATCAAGTCCTCTCCATGTGGAGACACTCCAAGTATTATAATTCCAAGAACATATGCGTCTCCAGGAAATCCGACTGGTCAGTAAATATAAAATTAACAGAGACGGCTAATAAGATATAAAGAAAGCATATTTCTATACCTTTTAAAGGGGAAATATCTGTGTGGGCAAAACAAAACAAGAGTACAGATTAAATTTGTGATGAATAAGAGTGTATAATAACTTGTGATGAATAAGTGTGGAAATAAAACTTGCTTAATAAGAGTACAAATAAAATTGGCTTCTAAAAACACATTGCGGGTGGGAGCAACATGACCAAGAATACGAGAGAATTAACATTCGGAGTCGAAGAAAAAGCCGGAGATCAAGTGTGTCCGGGATGAGGAAGAGTGAGATTGAGCAGTACCTGGGGACTCAGGACGCTGTTGACTGATGCCTCGTTATTGAGCTGTTTTCCTGAATGCTTTCTCTCAGGAAAGCTGAAGTCATTATGTTGATGGTGATGGAGAATGCACAGGAATGTATTAAATCGAATTTAAATTTCAGTCATGTGAATTATTGGCTTACTGCTTAATATCGGAGAGGAAAAACTTTGATTGTGCTAAAAAGTATGTTTTTTTTATTTGTTATTAGTTATACTTATTAATAATTTTTTTCTTGTTATTTTCTTTCGGTATCTTTTGTAGCCAGTCATTGTTGTTGTTTTAATTATTGATATTATTGTTATTGTTACTTTAATGTGTTTGCTGTCGTTGTTATTGTTGTGTTGTTGTTAGTGTCAGTGCTGTCGTTATTGTATTATGGCATACAAGAGTATGTTACATTTATTGGGTATGTCACACTCCCAAATAGGCCTGCCCTCCAACCAGCCGAACCAGGTACTAAGGGTTTTTAACGATCGATAGGGTACCCGTCGGTTAAATCATACTTGGTTCACTAGACAATCACAGGTTAATGCCCACCAAAGCTGTGAAGCAACGTGGTTCACTTGTGATAAGGCACTGAGAATTGTCACCTGTGGTTGGTTTACGGGGGGTGCACTCTCTTGGATTCTGCTTTGCAATCTGTCATGTGGTGTTACACTTATTATTATTTATCTGTACATATTGTAAATAGTGTTACATATCTGTATATAATGGGTGAAGGGTAAAATATTAGCCTTTACAGTCTATGTTTGAGTTTATTTGTACAATTCCCTTACGACAGTTTTCAGCCATTCATTACCTGTGCAATAGTTTTGATTTTTTGTTTATTGTTAATGTTGTTGTTAGTTTTGTTTTGCTGATGTTGTTGTATTCGCTATTATTGGTAATATTGTTGTTGTTATTGATGCTAATATTGTTACCATAAATATTATTGTTTTTGTTGCTGTTGCCGTTAATGTCATTGTTATCGTTGTTGCTAATGTTGTTAATGCTGTTGTTATTACGTGGTTAGTTGTTAGTAATAGTTAAGAGGTATAAGAGAGTAAACTCACCAAGAGTATGAGAAGAAGAGGTCCAGCGAAGATCCACATGTGTCTCCCAGGTGCCAGGAAACATCTGTTAGGATATGAAGAATGGAATGAAAGAATCAGTGAAAAATCCCCAGACATCATAGCAGTCACAGAAACAAAACTCGCTGAGACAATAACAGACACAATCTTCCCAACAGGATATCAGATCCTGAGGAAAGATAGAAGGAGTAGAGGGGGAGGAGGGGTTGCACTGCTCATAAAACACCAATGGGGATTTGAGGAAATGGAAGGCATGGACATGATTGGAGAAAGAGACTACATTGTAGGTACAATTCAGTCCGGAGAACATAAAGTAGTCATTGGAGTGATGTATAACCCCCCACAGAACTGCAGGAGGCCAAGAGAGGAGTACGAAGAAAAAAAACAGGGTGATGGTGGACACACTGGCTGAGGGGGCAAGAAGAGCTCACTCGAGCAGAGCAAAGTTACTGGTAATGGCGATTTCAACCACAGGGAGATCGACTGGGAAAACTTGGAGCCACATGGGGGTCCCGAAACATGGAGAGCCAAGATGATGGATTGGTACTTGAAAACCTATGCATCAACAGTCAGGGACACAACCAGAGAGAGAGGGAGGATGAGCCAGCAAGACTGGATCTTGGTTCACCCTGAGCAGTTCAGACATCGAGGACATCACTTACGAGAGGCCCCTTGAGCTAGCGATCATGTGGTTCTGATTTTGACTATATGTTTGAGTTACAAGTGGAGAAGGTAACAGGAACTGAAGGGGACAGGCCAAACTATAAAAGGGGGGACTACACAGGTATGAGAAACTTCCTAAGGAGGTTCAGTGGGACAGAGAAATGGTAGGAAAATCAGTAAACGAGATGATGGAATATGTGGCAACAAAGTGCAAGGAGGCAGAGGAAAGTTTTGTTCCCAAGGGAAACAGAAATAATAGGAAGACCAAAACGAGTCCTTGGTTTACCCGAAGGTGTAGGGAGGCAAAAACTAAGTGCAACAGAGAATGGAAAAGGTACAGGAGGCATAGGACCCAGGAAAAACAAGGAGATTAGTAGAAGAGCCAGAAACGAGTATGCGCAGATAAGGAGGGAGGCCCAGCGACAGTATGAAAACGACATAGCATCGAAAGTCAAATCTGACCCGAAACTGCTGTATAGCCACATTAGGAGGAAGACAACAGTCAAGGACCAGGTGATAAGGCTGAGGAAAGAAGGTGGAGAACTCACAAGAAACGATCAAGAGGTATGTGAGGAGCTCAACACGAGATTTAAGGAAGTATTTACAGTAGAGACAGGAAGGACTCTGGGGGGACAGACCAGATGGGGACACCAACAAGGAATACACCAACAAGTGTTGGAAGACATACATACAGATGAGGAGGAGGTGAAGAAACTGCTAAGGGACATCGATACCTCAAAGGCAATGGGACCGGACAACATCTCTCCATGGGTCCTTAGAGAGGGAGCAGATATGTTGTGCGTACCACTTACCACAATCTTCAACACATCCCTGGAAACTGGGCAACTACCTGAGGTATGGAAGACGGCAAATGTAGTTCCCATTTTCAAAAAAGGAGACAGAAAAGAGGCACTAAACTATAGACCTGTGTCATTGACGTGTATAGTATGCAAAATTATGGAGAAGATTATCAGGAGGAGAGTGGTGGAGCACCTGGAACGGAACAGGAGTATAAATGCCAACCAGCACGGATTCACGGAAGGCAAATCCTGTGTCACAAACCTTCTGGAGTTTTACGATAAAATAACAGAAGTAAGACAAGAGAGAGAGGGGTGGGTTGATTGCATCTTCTTGGACTGCAAGAAGGCCTTTGACACAGTTCCTCACAAGAGATTAGTGCAGAAGCTAGAGCATCAGGCGCATATAACAGGAAAGAGCACTGCAATGGATCAGAGAATACCTGACAGGGAGGCAACAACGAGTCATGGTACGTAATGATGTATCACAGTGGGCACCTGTGACGAGCGGGGGTCCCACAGGGGTCGGTCCTAGGACCAGTGCTATTTTTGGTATATGTGAACGACATGACGGAAGGGTTAGACTCAGAAGTGTCCCTGTTTGCAGATGATGTGAAGTTAATGAGGAGAATTAAATCTGATGAGGACCAGGCAGGACTTCAAAGAGACCTGGACAGACTGGACACCTGGTCCAGCAAATGGCTTCTCGAATTTAATCCTGCCAAATGCAAAGTCATGAAGATAGGGGAAGGGCACAGAAGACCACAGACAGAGTATAGGCTAGGTGGCCAAAGACTGCAAACCTCACTCAAGGAGAAAGATCTTGGGGTGAGTATAACACCGAGCATGTCTCTGGAAGCACACATCAATCAGATAACTGCTGCAGCATATGGGCGCCTGGCAAACCTGAGAACAGCATTCCGACACCTTAGTAAGGAATCATTCAAGACACTGTACACCGTGTATGTCAGGCCCATACTGGAGTATGCAGCACCTGTTTGGAACCCGCACGTCAAGAAACTAGAGAAAGTACAAAGGTTTGCAACAAGGTTAGTTCCAGAGCTAAGGGGAATGTCCTATGAAGAAAGATTAAGGGAAATCGGCCTGACGACACTGGAGGACAGGAGGGTCAGGGGAGACATGATAACGACATATAAAATACTGCGTGGAATAGACAAGGTGGACAAGGACAGGATGTTCCAGGGAGGGGACACAGAAACAAGAGGCCACAATTGGAAGTTGAAGACACAAATGAGTCAGAGAGATAGTAGGAAGTATTTCTTCAGTCATAGAGTTGTAAGGCAGTGGAATAGCCTAGAAAATGACGTAGTGGAGGCAGGAACCATACACAGTTTTAAGACGAGGTTTGATAAAGCTCATGGAGCGGGGAGAGAGAGGGTCTAGTAGCAACCGGTGAAGAGGCGGGGCCAGGAGCTAGGACTCGACCCCTGCAACCACAAATAGGTGAGTACAAATAGGTGAGTACAATTATTATTCCAGAGAGAACCTGAGGGAAGTAGTGGAGCGAAGGGAGTAGCAAGGTGAAGTAAGTAGCAGGGTGCTGGAAGTAGTGGGGTGAAGTAAGTAGCAGGGTGCTGGAAGTAGTGGGGTGAAGTAAGTAGCAGGGTGAGGGAAGTAGCAGGGAGCTGGAAGTAGTGGGGTGAAGTAAGTAGCAGGGTGCTGGAAGTAGTGGGGTGAAGTAAGTAGCAGGGTGAGGGAAGTAGTGGGGTGAAGTAAGTAGCGGGGTGAGGGAAGTAGTGGGGGTGAAGTAAGTAGCAGGGTGAGGGAGGTAGTGGGGTGAAGTAAGTAGCAGGGTGCTGGAAGTAGTGGGGTGAAGTAAGTAACGGGGTGAGGGAAGACAGGTGTTGCACCTTATACCAGCCTAAAACAATAATATATTTAAGAAATGTTCACACTACGGTGTTTCACGTAATATTATCAGCTGACTTCTTTCATCAACACCCTAAAGTGAAGATGTTTGACTTTATTTTTACCTGACACCTCACGTATCATGATACATGAACTTTGGGCTCTTTTATTACTGTTGTAAATATTATTATTGTTATGTATGTTGTTAGGTTGTCCTTGAAAATTACATTACTGGATACACTATGTGAGTGTTATGAATCGCTAGTTCGGCTGCCGGCAGTGGTTCCACCCCCGGGCTTACCACCTGCTTGCCAGGCAGTGGTTCCACCTCCGGCTTACCACCTGCTTGCCAGGCAGTGGTTCCACCTCCGGCTTACCACCTGTTGGGCTCCGGTCAAACAGTAAATCACTCGACTCACAGCTCCCAACACTACTCTTGAAATGACAGAGAGGGTCACCTGCCAATCAACGAGTAGAATTGAAGGAGATGGACTAACGTTTCTGAGGCATCCCAATTTCTGATCCACTTACCTGTTTGTGTATGCAAGTAGCGGATATAACCCCTCATAATTGCATGGAAAAAACCCTGCTTTCCTGTCATCTGGTGGATTATTGATGGCTATAAAATCTGTGAAGAACGAGCCGGTGGGTTGTCACCAACACCTGCGACCCCCCCCCTGTGGAAATTTATTTGGTCCCTAAAGTTCCACAGGACAGATCCGGCATGGGCGTAATGGAACGGCTGAGCTGGGTGGCCCTTAAACTCACCCAAACAAAAAGCGTTCTCCCCAAACATAAACACATTTCTCTCCCCGGGTTGGCATAGATGGTAGGCACTTATTTATTTATAGATTTACCCTTCAGGGAAGGAGTAGGTAGTTTTACTGTTAGTATATTAATATTAGGTTTACTAAGGCAACTGTAGATAATAATAATGTAGACCTAAGATCTTAACATAGGTAGTAATAGGCCGATAATGTAGGCAAACACTAGGATAAGTTAGCTAGAGAGAACTGGCAGCCCTAGATTGAACAAAGAGACGAGGGTCTTGAAGAGAGACCAGCTCGTTCTTCTTAAGACAGACACCAACTGGACAAGATGTGCCGTGATCAGCAGATGGTGCCCCCCACGTGTCTTCACATTTGAGACCTAGGGAAATCTGGTGGAGGCACCTCGATGTACCGTAGATGACCTCTGTCAGGCCCATACAGTAAGACAAGACCACCACTTTATCTCGTAGATTTCTGGCCAGTGTCTGGAAAGAATTGTGAGTGAGTTTGATCTGAGGGCCCAGTGTGCAGCAGGCAGTGCATGCCGAGTAAGTACCAGTGTCTCTTGGCAGTCTGGAAGCTAGTGTCTATGACTGCATAGTTATACTAGGGGATACATACCCTCTTGGATATAGGAATTTCTGAGGTGCAGGCTGGTCACTAATAATGATTGAATATTGCAGGAATTAAGGCTCCCGGTTGCACATGGTTTCTGAGGGGAAGCCCCAAAGGGCTAAGGTAAGTTTAAAGGGAAGTGGAAGAACAGGATATATGCTGCAACACCAAGTAAGTTAGTCCTTTATATGTGCATGCAGGCGAGTTTCTTGTAACATCAATCATTTGTGAAAATCTGTCCTATAAGCCACTTGTGGGGCTGAGGTACCCACCTCAGAGCTCGGTTTTCAACAGAGTTTGCCAGGGTAGGCACTCACTTGGAGGCAGTCTAC